TGATCCGGCTTTCCATAAAGGGTGAGGGAGAAGCTGAAAAGTGCTGACCACGTGGACTTTGAGTATCTGGTCTCTTTGACAGTAATTTCTCTTTGTAAATTAGCAGATCAGCTCCACGCAGGGAGAGAATTTGCTGATCATTTGTGCTTTGTATATCTCAGAGCCTGTGATAGTTATTCTCCTTTTTAAATGAATAGATTGGCTTCATATAGGAAGAGAAAATGCTGATTACACAGACTTTGAACATTCCGGTCCTTGTCACGCTCATTCCTCTTTGCAAATTAATAAATTGGCATTTGAGTTTTATAATCCCTTTTGTAAGCATCAGCCATAAGAGGTGGTTCTTCTCTTTGGACTGACAGTATCAGGAGGTCCTTGGCTGTCTGGGTGAACAATTTGTCCCCATTTCCCCAGGACTTTCCTGGTTCTAGCTCTATAAGTCTGCAAGCCTGGGAACCTCCTCTGCCTCAGGGAAACCAGGGCACCTTGCTTAAGGAATTTCTCAATTTTGAAACTGATAGATTTGCATCTCTCCTGAGAAGCTCCTCAGCCCCTGATGACCTGGCAGCTTAGCCACTTGGTAAGGAAAACAACATGGCCATATAGCTGAGAAAAAGCCACAGTGCTTCAGAAATTACCTACACGTGCCGAATTCAAACTCCATATCTAGTTTTAGAAGGACCTTTAAGCTGTTACTGTCTTATGACTTCTAGACATTACACCACAATATAATCCATGAGTATTTTATTTTACAGCTCTTATACTTAAGACATTTTATAGAAGGCAAGCTTTACACTAACATACAGGAGTTAAGATGATTGTTTTACACCTGGACCACATCCAGACTACTGCTCTTCCTGGCTGAAGATAGTCTGCATTCTTATTTTTAGATCCCAGAGCCATTTGCTAGTTGCTCCACAGTGGTGCGGCAGAGTGTAGCTTAGGTTTTGCAGATGGAAGTCTCCCCAGCTGTATTTGCTCCTGGCCCTTCCCTCTGCTGCCCAGAGGGAGCAGGAAGAGAGTGTGGGAGACAGCAGTGCATCCAAAGAACAAGCCCCACAATCAGTCTTTATTCTCTATTTCTTCTAATTAGCAACAATTTCATGTTAACTCCACTGGCTCATCTGCCCTGTCTTTGTTCTAGCATCCTCCAAAGCTGACTGCAACCCCTTCTCCAGGCTTTCCTTACCTCTGCAACACCATTCTCTCCTGGCTGTTCTACCATCAAACTTCTTCTGTACCCAGCCTCTAATGTTGGGATCCCTCCTGGCTAACCTCTGAGATCTCTTCTCTAAAGCCCTGCTGTCCAGTAGCCAAGAGCCATCTGTGGCTGTCAAGCAGTGAGAATGTAGCCAGTCTAAACTGAAGTGTGCTTTAATACACTAGATTTATAAAGCTTAGCATGGAGAAAGTAGTATAAAATAGCTCATTTTAAAATACTGATTGAATGGTGGAATGATAGTTATATGATATACTAGGCTTAAGAAATTATTACTAAAATTAACTGCATCTATTCCTTCTTACTTTTTTGATGTGACTACCAGAAAATTTAAATGCATACATATCAGTTCAGCTCAGTTCAGTCCCTCAGTCATGTCCGACTCTTTGCGACCAACCCCATGAATCGCAGTACACCAGGCCTCCCTGTCCATCACCAACTCCTGGAGTTTACTCAAACCCATGTCTATCAAGTCGGTGATGCCATCCAACCATCTCATCCTCTGTCGTCCCCTTCTCCTTCTGCCCTCAATCTTTCCCAGCATCAGTGTCTTTTCCAATGAGTCAGCTCTTCACATCAGGTGGTCAAAGTATTGGAGTTTNCACAAAGCAGCACCAGGGTGCCAGACATTAGAGTAAAGCTTTCTTGGATCTTCAGCCTAAACAAGTCAGCAGCTGACAACAACTCAGGGAAAGGTTCACCCGATAAGCCGCTGAACCCTGTCTGAATTCCTAGCCTGCAGAAACATGACCAAATAGAACGGCTGTTGTTTTAAGTCCCCAAGTTCAGGGTAGTGTGTCACACCGTGATAATAACTGAAATACTGCCCTCCCACTCACGTGAAGCCTCTAACCCACCCGTGATGCCGCAGCCAGCATGCTCACCTTAGAGTTATTCTGAGGGTCACTCCCCTGCTTCCTGCTGCACTTTCAAGAAAACTGAACCTCCTTCCTCTGTCACTCTCCCCATGGATCCTTGGAACCCAGCCATCAAACATCGTAAGCATCACTGGATGTTTACGGTCTAACAGCTATTCAATTAGAAATGCACTTATTAATTCAATACCTCTTTATGCGGCACTGACTATGTGCCAGGCACTGAACTCTGTGTTAAGGACACATCAGGGAACCAATGGGAGATGGACAGAGCAATATTACAGATTGTGACAAATGCTGTGGATGGAACACACATGTGCGTGCACACACACACACACACACACACACACATTGCACTGTGATCGAAAAATAACAGGGTATGCCCAGTCTAAGTAAGGTGATAGTGAAGGCTTCTCTGAGGAGATGATGTTTAATCAGATGTTGAAAAGAGAAAGACTGTGATATCACTATTCCTAGACCAGGCTCTGTGTTTCCAGAAGCAAAGCCCAGAACCAGAGTCCAAGAGCAGCCCTGCAACTCCTCCTAAAGTCTCAGTCACTGTGATGCCATTTATTTTGCTAACATGTCTCCTGCTCAATTTTCCCCTGCTGCTAAATGCCCCTCTGCCCAGACTCACTCACTACCTCGGCTTCCAGTCTCCAATCCCAATGCCCAAGACCTCCCTAGAGGGCCCTTGTCTCAGATCATGAAATCCTGGCCTATTGTGACACCTCGGTGCCAACATTAGCACTGACTTTAACACATACATTGGCAGACCGAAAGTCCAGTTACCCTGCAGTTCTGTTGGGCAGAGGTCACTCACAACTGTCATATTTGGGAGGTAAGTAGGGCTTCTTTATTTTTGCTCTATTCCTTTATTATTTATAAATACTATTACATAGTTTTTAAATAATGCTATAACCAGAGGTCCTTGGTTTCATTTAGCTGTGGTGGAAAATGCATTGTGAGCTCATGAGGGTTAAAGCCGTTTAGTGACCAGTCTGCAGTGGGTACCCTGGACCCTCTGACTTTGGCCCCTTGGCACCTGGGAGAGCCCTTCGGAGCACACTAGTGATGGCTGTGTAAGATGGATTTCCTGGGAAAGACACTTCTCACTCATTTGCTTCTGCCAGGTACTCATTCCAGGGCGGGCACAGGGAAACGGTTTTGGAGAAAAAGAGTCTACATAAACCATGATTCCGGGAACTCACATGATATGGTTTAAGTACCCCCCCCCCCACACACACACACAATGTGGCCCCTCTCCCACCCTGGTGTGGAGCCTCAGTTGTCTACTAGGGACCTCTGGATTTTGAAGAACCAAAGTACAGTATTCAGAAATATGGTGAAACAAGGAGGTCTCAGTTAACTGAATATTTGCTCATTTCATGAAGGATGGTGCTTCTGTCTCCAAGTCTGCCCACTGAAGATGTATGTGTCATGGATCCAGAAGGTCAGTCCTCTAAGCCAGACAGTCTGACTGACTTGTTGTGGAACAGCCTGGCTCAAACTACATCGGCGGCTAAACAACCTGTGCCCATTCTGCAAGAGACGAGTCTCTGAAGAGCTGGAGCTCCCTGAGGCCGCGGCAGCCCCCCGCCCCCATGTCTTTGCCCACTTAGCGTCCTCTCTGCCACCGCGGTTGTCAGTGGCAGCTGTGCTGCATGGCTCGCTCTGGGCAGACTCACCCTGGGACGGGGGGCAGACTCGCCCTCACCCCAAATTCACGTGACTGCGAGTCCTACTGCCCAAGACCTGCTCTGACACGTGGTGGAGCTTGTTCTAAACACAAGGCATCTCCCTGGCACAACTCTCGATTCATGGGGAGTGGGCAGCCTGTGGATGAAGCCTCCAGCATTCTGGGAGGGCTTCTGCAGGGCTCTCACAGGTCCTGTTTAACTGAAGAAGTTAATCCTTTTGCCCACAGAAGCAACCTCAACAGTTTACATTTGATCAGCTTTTTCTCCCACTCTGTCTCCTTCTATCCCTTCATCACTTCTGCTCCCTTGGACTACCTCCCAGTTACGTTTCCTGCACCCAGGTCCTTGTCTCAGACTTTCTAGGGAACCCAGACTGAAGCAGATGCAGACTGATCAGGACATCCAGTTTTGAATGAGAATGGATTAGCACACAGCAAGGGGCACTAGTGCAGGCTGGCAGCAGGGTGCGGAGGAAGCAGAGCAAAGCACAGACCGCTCCAGAGCTTTGCTAGCATCCTGCAAGAGAGCCACTCTCATCACCAGGCAGTCTCTCTGAGGACAGTGTGTGCCAGCGGCGACTCTTTTTCCTTGACTGCATATTGTTTCTAGGACCATTCTAGATACTGACTTCAAAAGCCTTCTAGTTGGTGATGGGCTATATGTGTAAGACTTCTTTTATTCTCGCCTGCATGTCCGATTCCATTTCTGGAAGATGTATAGAAAGTCTTCATCATTGTGGACATGTCATTATGCTCTTTTCCCCACTCTGGCCAGGGAGCTGGGCAGAGAAGGCTGGCTCCTGAGGCCTAGCCCTGTCCTCCTGGCAGTTGGAACCCTCTGTCTGTGCCATCCCTCAGCACCATGACGGGAAGTGTGACAAGAGCATCTGTCAGAACAAAAGGTGCCCCTGTAATCTGTGAGGTCACAAGAACCCATGCTTTGGGAAAAAAAGAGAAGCACATTATTTGACACTCACATGTTGGAACACAAAAGCGCAAACCATCAGGGAAGGACAAATACTTTTCTGGAAGAATTTGGCCAGTGGCATAAAGGAGAAACCCCATTCAAATCAAACATAGAGGCCCTGCTACCCAGGTCTTTTTACTGGATGAGTGAAGTGAAACCTAGTTTTTCATTAGCAAATAGTAAAAATGTAAAAAAAAAAAAATAATAATAATTCTTCAGAGAGCTCTGGAGAGGGGCTAAAGTCACATCCTAAACCTGATAGAGCACTTAATTGACAAAGAACAAGAAACTAAATTTGTATTAGGAGCTAAAAAATGTTGCTTTACTGACAAGTTAATGTTTAAGACAATAAATATTTCAGATTTAGTAGGAATACTTTCTTTTCCTCTCCCACTTCTAGAATAGGAGGTGATTTCATCTCAATGCATTTAAACTTCACATTGCTGGACCTCAAGAAGATTCAAGATGGCACAGGCCAGAAGGAATTATCTAATGGGAGGCTGGGACCTGGTTCTCTGTTGGACTAAGGATTCAGGTTACAGCTTAAGTGCTGTGTATGCATTCCTTTTACACCTGGAGTGACAATAAGAAATACTTGCTAATTCACCAAAAGGAAGAGTCATCCAATTGCCAATTTACTTACTTTCAACTTTTTAATTAAAGCATAATAGTTATCATTCATATACTAAACTACAAAATATAAATGTACAGTTTCATGAATTTGTGTGTGTATGTAGTGAATACTCCTACATAACCACCACAAAGATCAAAATGTACAATACTGACATCACTGTAAAAACATTCCCCATGCCTTCTGCAGTCATCACATATCCCATGGTAACCACAGTTCTGATTTCTACCACCATCTGATAGTTCTGTCCACTGCTGAACTTCATTTACCTGGGTTTGAAGGTAAATGAAGTTCATATCTAGCTTCTTTCATGTGACGTTATATCTTTTAGGATCTTAAGCATAATAGTATTCATTATTGCTACATATATAATGTATACATATATACATTTTATGTATATATTAAAATGTATCCATTAGTATCTTTATGGACTTCTGGGATGTTTCAAGTTTTTTAAGCTATTATGAACAGTATTCTGAACATTCTTGCAAATGTCTTTTGGTGTACATACATACACGGTTCTTCCAGGTAGAATCTAAACATGGAATTTTGAAGTCATAGATGTTCAGTTGTCAATGTGAGGGTTCCAGTTGCTGCACATACTTGTCAACACTTGGTTTTGTCTAAACCATTCGGTATGTGTATGTAATAATATCTCTGTATAATCTTACAGCTTTACTTTCTGTTTCCCTGATTGCTAATGACTTAAAAAAATCCTTTTAATATGTTTAGTGGTCATTTGGATATCCTCTTTTGTAAAGGGCTTGGTAAAATTCATTACCCATTTTTAATTGGTTTGTTATTATTTTGTAGGAATTGTTAATACATCTTGGATAAATGACCTATAACAGATGCTTATATTATAAATATCTTTCCCACTCTGTAGCCTGCCTTTTCATTTGTTCAATGATGTATTTGGATGAGTACATTCTTTTTACTTTTACTGAAGTCCAATTTATTTATCTTCCATTTGTATACATAGAGAAATTAACATATAATTTTCTTTTAATGTTTGTGTCAGTTATTTTGATGGTTATATTAGCCTTAATAAAAGAAGCTTTAAAAGGTTTCACTTTTTCTATTTTATGGATGAGTTTTAAAATTTTTTAGTTTCTTCCTTACATGTTTGGTAAATTTCACCACAAAGTCACCTGGTCTGGAGTTTTTGTAGGATATTTGTTGATGTTATTTAATCATTAAGTTGTGTCCAACTCTTTGAAACCCTATGGACTGCAGCCCACCAGGCTTCCCTGTCCTTCACTACCTCCCAGAGTTTACTCAAACTCTTGTCCATTGAGTCAGTGATACCATCTCACCATCTCGTCCTCTGCCACCCCCTTCTCCTTTTGCCCTCAGTCTTTCCCAGCATCAGGGTCTTTTCCAGTGAGTCAACACTTTGTCAGGTGGCCAAAGTACTAGAGCTTCAGGTTCAGCATCAGTCCTTCCATTGAATATTCAGGGTTGATTTCCTTTGGGACTGACTGGTTTGATCTCCTTGCAGTACAAGGGATTCTCAAGAATCTTTATCAGCACCACAATTCAAAAGCATCAATTCTTTGGTGCTCAGCCTTCTTTATGGTCCAACCCTCACATGTGTACATGACTACTGGAAAAACCATATTGCCGTTGTTCAATCATCCAGTCATGTCAGACTCTTTGTAATCTTATGGACTGCAGCACAGTCTTTCCAATGAGTATTCAGGGTCAATTTCCTTTAAGATTGATTGGTTTGATCTCTTTGGTGTCCAAGGGACTCTCAGGAGTCTTCTCGAGCACCACAGTTCGAAGTAATCAATTCTTCAACCCTCCGCCTTCTTAATGGTCCAGCTCTCATAACCATACGTGACCATTGGGAAGACCATAGCCTTGACTATACGGACCTTTGTCAGCAGAGTAATGTCTCTGCCTTTCAACACACTGGCTAGGTTTGTCCTAGCTTTCCTGCCAAGAAGTAAACATCTGATTTCACAGCTGCAGTCACCATCCACAGTGATTTTAGAACCCAAGAAGAGGAGATCTGTCACAACTTCCACCTCTTCCCCTTCTATTTGCCATGAAATAATGGGGCCAGAAGCCATGACCTTAGTTTTTTTTTTTTTTTAATATTCGGTTTTAAGCCAGCTATTTCACTCTCTTCCTTCACCCTCATCAGAGCTTTGACTGTACAGACCACAGATTTGACTATATGGACCTTTGTTGGCAAAGTGATGTCTCTGCTTTTTAATATGATGTCTAGGTTTGTCATGGGGTTCCTGGTGGCTCAGATGGTGGTCTGCCTGCAATGCAGGAGACCCAGGTTCGATACTTGGGTTGGGAAGATCCCCTGGGCTCAGATGGTGGTCTGCCTGCAATTTTCACTTTCACTTTTCACTTTCACACATTGGAGAAGGAAATGGCAGCCCACTCCAGTGTTCTTGCCTGGAGAATCCCAGGGACCGGGGAGCCTGGTGGGCTGCCGTCTATGGGATCACACAGAGTCGGACACGACTGAAGTGACTTAGCAGCATTAGAGTGGTATCATCTGCATATCTGAGGTCATTGATATTTCCCCTGGCAATCTTGATTCCAGCTTGTGCTTCATTTAGTCCAATATTTCTCATGATGTCCTCTGCATATAAGATAAATAAGCAGGCTGACAATATACAGCCTTGTTATACTCTTTTCCCAATCTTGAACCAGTCAGTTATTTCATATCTGATTCTAACTATTCCTTCTTGAGCAGGAGATAGGTAATGTGGTCTGGTATTCCCATATCTTTAAGAATTTTCCATAGTTTGTTGTGATCCACATAATCAAAGGCTTTAGTATAGTCAATGAAACATGAGTAGATGTTTTCCTAGAATTCCCTTGCTTTTTCTATGATCCAGTGGATGTTGGCAATTTGATCTCTGGTTCCTCTGCCTTTTCTAAATTCAGATCATACATCTCAGAGTTCTTGATTCACACACTGCTGAAGCCTAGCTTGAAGGATTTTGAGCATAACCTTGTTAGCCTGCGAATCAAGCACAACTGTATGATAGTTTGAACATTCTTTGGCATTGCCCTTCTCTGGGATTGGAATGAAAACTGACCTTTTGCAGTCCTGTGGCTATAGAGTTTTGAAATAATAGGTATCAAACTATTTGGATATTCTATTTCTTTTTGTGTATGTTTTGGTAAGTTTGTGTTTATTTTTTGAGAAAATCTGTCAATTTTAATTTTCAAATTGATTTTCAGAAATGTATTCAAAATGCCCTTTTCCTGCGTGTAGTTTTTTTTTTTTAATATTTGGAGGATCCCTAGTGATATCTCCTTCTACATTCATTTGACTGGTAATTGTGCCTTTTTTTCTTGGTTATCCTTTCTAAGGGCTTGGGCTTCCCCGTTAGCTCAGCCGGTAAAGAATCCACCTGCAGTGCAGGAGATCTGGGTTCGATCCCTGTGTTGGGAATATTTCCTGGAGGAGGACATGGCAGTCCACTCCAGTATTCTTGCCTGGAGAATCCCCATGGACGGAGGAGCCTGGCAGACAACAGCCCATGGGGTCACAAAGAATCAGACATGACTGAGTGACTAAACACCGCACAGCACACTAGGGGCTTATCAATTTATGAGTTTATCAAAGAACCAATTTGTGACTTTATTGTATTTTTTCCTACTTATATCTACTTTCTATGTTACCAACTTCTATTTTAATCTTAATTATTTCTTTCCCTCTGTTTTCCTAAGGTGAAATTTGTCATTCTTCTTTGATTTATATCATTTATTTTCAGGCTTTCTAGTTATGAATTCAGATAAAAATTTTCCTTTACTTGATACACATCTCGTAAGTTTTGTTATATTTTAAAAATATTCCATTCAAAATGTTATCTACCTCCTACTATTATTTCTTATTTCACCCACAGACTATTTCAAAGTATATTGCTTAGTTTTCAAACATGTGGGAATCTTCTGGCTTTCTTTTTATTATTGATTTGTTTTAAATTCACAATGGTCAGACCACATATTCTATATGATTTTTATCTTTCAAAATTTTTTAGATGTACCTTATGGCCAGCATATAATATACTGGTAACTATTCCATGTGTACTTGGAAAGAGTGTATATTTTGAAAGTTTAGATGCAGTGTTCTATATATTCTACTGAAATTTCCATTAACCTTATTTCTATTTAGATTGTTTTATCAGCTGCTGACAGGCAGATTAAAATTTCTAGCTATGATTATGGGTTTTTCTATTTCTATTTGTTCTGCTTTATATCTTAGTTTTATTCTTCATTTGTTATTGAATGTATCCCAATCTAGGATTGTTATATCTACCAGTTGTATGGTTTTATAATTCTGAAATAACCCTTTTTATCTGTGGTAACACTTCTTTAACATCTACATTCCTCTGATAATAGCATAGCTGCACCAACTTGTTCTGGTAAACATTATATGATATGTTTATTTAAATTTGCTCACATATCATCTTTTTGTATCCTTACATTTAAGGTATATCTGATTTAAGCAATATATATAGCTGTTGTTCAAAATCCAGTGTGACAATATTTGCTTTTAATTGGAGTATTTATCAGTTATATCCCCAGTCTTCATGTTATTCTATATTTCACCCTACCTTGGTAAATCATCTCATTGTGAATATATCTTGTTTGCATTATCCTAATATGAGTGTCTTCTGATATACGAGAAGAGAGAATTATCTAAAATTGAGGACACATGGAAAGCCAAAAAAACCAGAGAATGGAAAACTGGGTCCTTATGACACATACCGAGTCCCTATATTAGGTTTATGATACCTATTTAGCTCATAACTAAGTTACAGCTGAAGCCAGAGCTCCAGAGCCTGCGCATTTACTGTATGCACCATATTAGGTAGGACATGGTCTTTCTCTCTTTGCTAGATAATAGTATTGAGTGTTTACTTGTGTGTTAGGCACTGTTCTAAGAACTTCACATGTATCTTCTCATTCAACTCTCATATTAACCCTAGGAGGTACTATTTTATTCCCATTTCACAGATTTTTTTTAAAGTTAAGTTTTAAAATGATAAATACAGAATTTGTTACAAATCACATGGTTGATGAATTCCAGAGCTGAGATTCAAACACAGGAAATTTGACTGACGTGGCTTAGCTATTAAAGGACTCACCCTTTGGCCTTTCCGAGTAGCCCTGTCTTAAATGTTAGCTGCTCAGTCATGTCTGACGCTTTGCGACCCCATGGACTGTAGCCCGCCAGGCTCCTCCGTCCATGGAATTCTCCAGGAAAGAATATTGGAGTGGGTTGCCATTTCCTTCTCCAGGGGATCTTCTTGACCCAGGGATTGAACCTGGGTCTCCTGCATTGCAGGCAGATACTTTACAGTCTAAGCTACCACCGCAGGTTGTTTTATATGGAAAGAAAAACCAGGATCTCTTTAGATTTAGGCCTAACATATACAACCTATTTATGTTGCCAAATGCTATCTTATAAAATGTCTACTTTATTAATAATTACCGATGGTCTGTCTTTTTCATTGTTCTTATCTAAAATATTATTTCTGAAATTTCCATTTTTGCTTTTCTATGTCCTCTAAGTAAAATTTCTAAGTTACTTACAAATTTCTAAGTGTCCTTAAATGTTTTATGGGTCTTCATAGCATATTTTATTTAAAAA